CGATTACTCCCAAACTCGGCTGGGCTGAGTGTATGGCCGGGCCCCCCCCGATCGAACAGCCGGCGGGCCCATGCGTCGTCGTCGCCCAAGTGCCGAGGCAGAACAAGCTCCACCAATTCGTTTCCTTGGTCTCAGCAGCGACCATTTCCCTGGCGCTCTGGGCCAGACTCTCCCCGGTGGAGTCCCAGCGCGCTGGCCATGCGGATGGCGGCGCCAAGAACGGCGTTTGCCATGTTTGGACGGTTAATGTAGTGCAAATAGTAACCGCCGATGAGAGCCAAAGCTTGGACGGTTTCGATATGGCTGCTGCCGAAGGCATCGAGAGGCAGATGTTCCATGGCGCGGTTGTAGTAGTTGACGTGATTGTAATCATCTGACTTCATGCCAGTGATGCTGCCCATGGCAAAAACCATGTTGAGGAGGGCGAGCCACGGACTGTCGCAGCGCTGGCCCTCCAGGTACTCGGCGCGGAAGGCAGCCTCGTCAAGCATGGGAATAAAGACATTGATGCGTTTGAAGTAGGCGTCCAGGAGGGTCTGGCCCTTCCAGGACCACGAGATACGCTGGTTTTCCTTGGGACCCAGCTGCTGGGGGCGGATTGGAAAGTTGTGGGCAACCTCGGCCGTGTTCAGCGGCGTGGTAAGCTGTGTACGCAGCGAAGGTTGAACCTTGAGCATGCACATCAAGGCAGCCTTGATAGACGAGGCGCCCAGATATGAAGATTGGCGGTCGACGGAGAGCCCGAGAGCATTGACATCGTCAGCTTCGATGGGGATGGGGTCACGCCCGCGGCGCTCTTCATCCCACTCTGTGTCTTGACCGGGCATCTGTTCGAGGCTCGAAAGCCCCTGTTCTGAGGAGCTACAGATCGGGGATTCCAGCTCCTGTGACAAAGGTGAAGTGTTGAGTGGCGGTGATGGCAAAGCTGTCACGATTGAGGTGTCCAGCACTGGACGCTCGAGGAGGCTTAGAAGCTCCTGGCGAGAAAGGGGAAGGAGGGCCTGGGTCTCTTGGTTGGGATAGAGGCGCTTCAAGATCGAGCGGCACTCTTCGAGGGACTGCGAAAGTGCCTCGAGTGTCTTCCGTGAAGGAATGACTCGCTGGCGGTGCTTGTCATAGAAGCATCTCTTGGGTGCGCGGCTGGACAGGCACTGGCCACAGGGCTGTTGGCCATCACATCGGCTGCAGAGGTGTCCCCTGTCAGAAGGAGGGTGACTACTTCACTGGCCGGTAGACTAGACTTACATCTTTGCGTTTTGTCTCGCCACTGGCGTGGGCTGTGGTTATCTGTGTTGTGAGCAGACGCAACAAGAGTCTTGTCATTGTCCTCGAGAGCGGTTTTGGGCTTCCTGGGAGTAACACCCTGAACTGGAAGATGTTAGCCCATGTTGCGAGGAGTAGCCTGGCAGCAGCAGCAGCGGCGGCAGAAGACTCACAGGTATGGAACATGCCACCCTGAGTAGGGATGGGAATGGACGGCGCCATGATGTCTTTGGACGAAGAGGCTTGGCTACCAGAAAGATGTCGACCTTATGAAGTTGTGGTAGGTATAATGAGTTAGGCCGAGGCAAATAAATGAAGTTGATAGAGACAATGTCGGTTCGTATGGATGAGAGCCAGGTGTATGGTACTGGAGAAGGGCATGGGAATGCAGACTTATATATATGGATATGAAGTGTCCGTCGAGCCAAAGTGATGTTTTCAGACATGGAAGCGGACCGTCGATGCCATGTGGGGATACAAAACAGGGGCCATCCTATAGCAAAGTGGTACAAGGGGAGGGGAGGGGGGGCGAAGGGGATTCAAGGGTAGGTTGATCCACGGCTCGAGATGCTTCGTGTGGAGATCAATGCCGTGTCGACAAGCGTGAGGCGGGTCCATCATCTACTGTAGGGATTGTGGGGAGGGAGAAGCGGAGCGCATGACAGGGCAACAGTAGCAGGAGGAGGGTGTGCGAGTTGTCCGGTGGCGGCAAAGGAGACGGAGGGGTCTCGAGAAGAACGCCAGGAACGGGAGTTGTACTACCTGGGGATGAGTACCTGGCGCAAGGCGGCTTGTCAGGCAGAGATGCGTCGCGTGGGTGTGTAGCTGGAACTGGCGTGTACCTGTGGCGTCGTTCCGAGCCGGGGCCAAGGGGGCGCGAGGAGCAGGAGTATCGAGGGTATGGGCCGTGGAAGCGAAGAGAGAGTGGACAACGATGAGGGGGTGGACGATGCGAGGAGGGGGGTGGAAGGCGAAGAGGGAAAGGAGGGTAGGGATCCAGGCAACCCCGATCCGTTAGCTTCAGATGGCCGAACTGCGAACGCGCGCAAGAGTGCGTGGAGAAGATGGAGGGTGTGGTGATTGGCGAGACATGAATCTGGAGAAGGCGAGTGTGTACTATCGCAAGCGCTTCGCTAAGGCAGAAGACAGCTGCGGAGTGCGGCCTGGCCGTCGCGCCGTGAACGTAGACCAAGGTCGAGATCAAGGTCAATCTGGCCCAAGCCGACGTTGGAGTCATGGAGCTGGCGGGTCGACAAGGTGAACCGTGGAGCCCCAAGTAAAGGCGGCTGGCTGGACCACGGAACGACTTGACTAGACCACATGACTGCGGGGCAAAGGAAAACGACGATCATTGTCATGAAATCCGGGGGATCAGGGGATCAGGGGATCAAAGACGTGGATGATCATGCAGAAGATGCGTGCGTAGTGCTGTTCGAACGTAGGGTCGGCGGCCTACAAGGGCATCTTCGGAGGAAGACCTCAGTGATGCCGACAGGGAAGATGATGATCAGGGACGAGAAGGGTGCAAGCATACAGGCCAGGATCAACTGTGATGGTGGTGAGGGTGAGGGAAAAGATGACAGCGCTGGCCTCCCCCGCGACGAACGCGGTGCGACGGGTGGGATTTCAGATTTCATTGCCAGTGCAAGTGCAAGTGACAAGGAAGGGCACCTTCTTGCTGCGAGCCTGGTGAGCGACTGAATGGAAGTTGCGCAGGAGAAGAGTGGGTCCACTGTCCTGTAATGCGACAGCAGCGACCGGGGTATGTGGGGATGGCAGGCACGACGACTCGGGATGGATGAAGAAGAGGAAAGTAGAGAGAGGCGCGCCCCTCCCTCAGAGAGATACCGGGGTACCTCAGGGCAAAGTGGGTTCCAGGCGGGACAGCAAAACAGAAACCGAAGAGGCGGGCACGTACCCCGAAGTACCGAAGCCAATTCATCTCATCTTTGCTTCACCTCCATCCTGCTCGTCCAGTCAGCGACCCTCAGTCATCATCCCAGCACCCAGCTGCTTAAGCGGTGCGCACAGGTACAGGCACAGGCACAGGCACAGACAGGTACAGGTGCTGGCCCCTCCACCCCTTCCCCTCTACTCCACATTTTAACACTCGGTCGTCGTTCCCTATTGCCGAGTGGTCGGTCGGTCCATCATCTTTCCCTGCCGCAAGAGTAATTGCAACAGCAAGAGCAACCTCACTACTTGTCTAGCTGCCTGCCGTCTGCCACCAGGCGTTGACTGTGGGGAAGGCGGCCCATACCCTGGCCATGGCTGCCAGTCCGAGCGCCTATCAGATCAACCCCTGTCCCTTGCTGCCATAACACTTGCCTGCCTGCCTGTGTACCCTCCTTTCATGTGCTTTGGGTAGGTCCGTCGAGTTTTTCCGTCGTGCCGCAAACGACCATGAAGCCGCCCTTTACCAGCCTGGGTCAAGTGAGGGCGGTTGAAGGTCTGAGCCTGACCTCGAGCTCCACCTCTACCACCTCAACGTCTTGTCCGTCCATCCACATCCACCACACCACACACAATCGTGCAGCCAGTCTACTGCTCGGCGACCCGCCAACTCACCCCGGCCGCCTTCTTTTTTTCGCGCTCTCATCGATCCCGTCACCCCATCGTCAATCGGCGAAGCGACTCACGATGCTTGCCAAACGGCCTTCCCTAGACCGCTTGCGATTGACAGGGGGGTTGACCATTCGACTCGCCGAGCCTTGTTTTCGGCCTCCGTCGCTTTGGAGGGCACGTCGGACGGAGCTCACAGCAACCTGAACCCACATGGGGCGGAATGGGTAAGACTGTGGGAGACGGCGAGAGATGCACGGTCAACATGTGCCTGAAGTCTGCCATCATCAGCCCACGACCCCAAGACATGTGGGTGCCAGATGACTGGATGCGTCCCGTGAAGCTTCGAGCGCTCAGGAGTCCCTGGCCATCTGGCTCGTCTCATCTCCTTTCTGCCGGCCCGACCCTTGGTGACGAACAGCAGACGGGTCCTTCGGTGTCATCAACATTGACGTCCAACTCTCGACCATGTTTCACCTTGATCTTACGAGAAGCTCAATTTCCTCTCAACATCTCGTCTTTGCGACCAGCTGCCAGCCGCAACGATAGTTTTCCTCACTCCGGCTGAGCCACGGTACGGTAGTATTGCTTGTCACAACCCATGCTTCGATACATCGCCTGATATCGCATCCTCAGCGACACGCCGGGTCGCGGCCGAGACCACTCGCCACATGGAAACCTGGCCTTCTCAGTGGAACCTCAAATCTCGCACCAGACGCCACACTCTGACCCACAACTCGCATCGGTCTGCCGTCTTGGTCTGTTCCCATCGGCCGAATGAGCAGCTTGACAACCTCGCCCGTTTCGCGAGGTGAAGCCGCCACGATGCACTTACCCACCTACACACACCCCTGAACCCGTAGGAGCCTGGGGGCACTCGCTCTCCTCACTGAGCCGCGCCGGCCGGTGACCACCTTGTTAGTCACATCCTTCACCATGTCTCCTAAGCCTAGGCCAGCATTCGTGCCTGACGCCTCTGCCGAATGAGCCCGTACCCCAGCTTTCCTCTGCCGCTGGAAGCCCAGAGTTTTCTTTTGATCCCTTACACCACACGTCTGCCCCGTCAGCGCGCCCACAGAGCCTGCCCGCCCAACACCCTCTGCCCAAAAGCGCCTTCGAGCTGCCTGTCCCCTCTCTGTTGCTTGCGCACCCGCCTGCGCCACGACGCTCGTTCCACGGTCTCTACACAGGAATACATATCCTGCCAGACCTTACCCCGCATCCCGGCTCTTCAGCCAACGAGGCATGGGGGCCAGGGACACACAGGTACACACACCTCAACTTGGTACATCACGGCGTCCAGGCTGGGCATATGCAAGCCACACCAAGGGCACATCGGGCAAGTCAACAAAAGCCTTGCTGCTCTCGTGATACGTTCAACTTTCCCCAATACCGGAGAAAGCGGAAGAGACACAGGCAAGACCATCCGACCCACATAATTTGTACCAGATTTGCTCCTGCTCTGGACGAACCTCGGACGAAATGCCTGACACAGCGAACAAGACCGCAAGTTATTCAAGAATTTGGACAACACGGGTCCGTATCTTCTTCTTCTTTTCACGCATGCGTCTGGTCAGGTGCAGCTGTTTTCATCGCGACTCGTCGCTAATGCGTCCCGGCTATATGCACCTGCGTACCCCTGTGTTTTCCAGCTTGTCTTCGGCGTTAGTATGCGTGGTGCGAAGACATGGCCCGAACCAAACCAAACAGGGTACTGCCCAGTTGTGGCTCTCCTGCTAAAGACCCTTGCCCGTCGACCAGACCCAACTTTGAACAGGGCTGGCTTGCCTCGACTCGACTCCCTCCAAATGAGACTTGCCGCCCTGCTGGATCTCAATCATCGGTTCGGCTTCCGAGCACCATGCGATTCAGCCAAGCCTGTGCCTTGATTATCTCAAAGCCTGGGCGAGCCGCAAAACATAAGCGTCGTACGAGTCTGCTGGTACAGCCCGGTTCGAGACTTGCTTGTTGTCAGCATGACATTCCTCGATACGACCCTGAGATATCGACCGCAACAGGTAGTCTACAACGGACCTGCTCTGAGCTTTGCTCTAAGCATCGACTTGCCAAGAACATAAGAGGTGTGAAGGGTCTCTGGTCTCCGGTCTCCTGCTATAGCTTCACACTAAGTCGGTGTGTTAGCCGCCTCTCGAGGGGTCGATCTTTCGCATCCTTGCCCGATTTCGGGACACAAGGCGGTCTGATGACAAGGACAAGGTATACGGGCATTCATCCAGATCACCTGTCCTGTGGCTCAAGCTGCGGAGAAGACTGACGGACTATCTGCATGGGGAAGCTGCTACTTGCCAAAGGTTTGGGGAAATGGAGCCACCTCCAACGGATCAACGGGAGCTCTGGATGTCCGTACTGATTGCAGTGCTCGGCTGCCATCGCTTCGAATGCCTCTACACACGTGGCAAGAAGAGGAGTGCCAGGCACAATCAGTCACGCTCCACACAACACAAACATTACGAATCATCCGTCACCTCTGGCCACAACGGAGGAGGAGAATCTACGGACAAATCTTGTTTGTGCTACTGCGCGACGCGCATCGGCTGCGCTTTCCCTTTCATCTCTGCAACGCCGGTCTCTTACTGTTGACACGTGCTCAAAGTATGCATGGCCCAGTCTGGTACCGCTACCGCTACCGGCACGGCACGAAACAGTGCCTGCTGGGCTTTTTCAGTAATTTACAACAGCCGACGGATTTCGGCTCCAGGCCATTCATCCCGTTTGTCCTTTCAAGTCGGAAAACATTGCTGTCTGACGGGCACTCCCGGGTGGAAACTCTGAGAGCTCTGTCGAAACACCGCACTCACTGAGTGATGCGGGCTCTGCCGATCTACTGGTATACCGAGCATGAACACCATGATGATCCCTTCATTTTCCTCATGATATTGGCTCTGTGCTTTTACCTATCCCTTTCACTTGTGGCTGCATCGTTCGCATGCGTACTCAGATGTGGCAAAACCTCTGTTATGGGCCATGCAGGAGACCTGCAAATTCGACAGCTGACAAGTCTGCAGGCCTACTGCCAGACCATACGCGTCGTCCTGTCGCCTCTCCACACCCACCAGCAAATCATGCGGTCTGAGCCTCCATGAAATGCGACGCAGCCCGATCTCCACGGGGTTCTTCAGCGGCTACGCCAGAAAATGCCGCGGCACGCCTTTGACAGCGAGCCTCGGGAAGCCATCCGAAGCCTCGTCATTTCTTATAATGAACCTATTCAGGTCGACAGCCTCTGGTGTGTTGAGCACCAGTATTTGCTCAAGCTACATGCCGCTATCACACTGTTTCGTTGTATTACTGTCCGCTGCGCTCGCCACAATGACGCACACAACTTCGGCATGGCCGCCGGCTGCCTGCGAGTTTCCCTCAACCTGTCCGTTTCGTGAGGATCCACTGGACAAGCTCGGAGATTGTTCCGGGAAGAACCCAAATGCAAAGGCGTTTCAACACAGCGCCTCACTGACGCCTCCCGTCATTCATCATGAGGCATCACTATGCTTTCTCTGCCTGAACCCTTTGATGAACGGCCTGCCTGCTCAGCTTTCTAGCCACTCATACCAATGCTGCTGCTACCCGTTCCTCAGGTTTGAGCTTGACTCGTTACTCATCAGCCTGTCGAAGTGTCACCGGCGTGTTACCATCCGTCGGAGGCTCTGCCACACTGCCGGGGCACGTGACGATACGGCTCATGCTCTAAGGTAGCCGTGATGTCGTCCCGAAATCCCGACGACAGGCTTATGGTCCTGTCTCTACGCTGCAGGAATCCGTACGCCGAGGCATACTACGAGTCGTGCATATTAGGCGCCCATACCCCAGCTGTGCGACTCGAGATGCCACGATCCGCTAAGCCATGGCAGCCACGGAGGTAGACCGGATGAGGGCTGAGGGCCGTCCGAGTCAGAGAGCCAAAGAGAGGACCTCTGCAGAGGGAAACGGCACAATCTCGCCCGACCGGGCGGCCGAGTTGATGAGGTCGTCGATGAAGAAGTGCATCTCATCTTCTGCCCCGCGTGTAATTTTCTCGTCCGGCTCACGTTCCCTTAGTGTTCTGAGGGGTACATCATGTCTTGTAAGGGAGGGCAGCCACCTCCGCATTCTGTGATCCTTCAGCGTCACATCCTGCAAGGGCCTGCGGTCCGATGATGATCTCCGTCCACGAAGGGTAAAGTAAGTCTACGGTGAGGCTTAGTCATGTGTTTGGTCTATGAGTATGTTGCCCTGTGGTAGGCGTCCTGGGTGGTCGGAGGCTTTACTGAGACGAAATGAAATGGTAAAACTACAA